TAATATTACTAGGGTTAGGTGATAATGGGTGGCCTACCCTATTAGTATATATAGACCCTCTTGGTTATGATCCCCAATACACTAAATCAAACATAGTTCTCTTTTCTCCCTATCGGAATCTAGAACGACGGTCCCATATGAGGAATAAGGCGATTTAGTTGAGGAAGGCCATAAAACCAACGTCGTTCGTGGTCGAGGATGTGTTCGTGATCCAACATGTTCCATGGTGATCAGATCTATAAATCCACCTAAGGTACGCTTCCGCTATCTAGTTTAATTCTCGATTATTTGATATGAAAGCTCTTGGGATATAGCGATGGTTTTCGCATAAGGCTAATTCCAACAATTAGAAGCTTAAGAAATTGCAGTAAAAAAAAACAATTATTATTTTGATTATTTCTATAAGGGAGATTTTACTGTTCCGTTACAGAACTATTCTGTCGGAGTTTGTAAATTATAATCGTTAGATCAACTAATCATGACGATTATAAATCCCGACGGAATGATTCCGTAACAAAACTGTAACATTTTATGTTTCTACATTGTAATTCTTAGTTATTTTCTCACACAGTTCAGTTTTCAAAACCTGGGCGCCCATAGAAATTAATATTTTTACTGACTGAAGTTTTTAATGTAATTAACTAATTATATTACTCATCAGCACCTATAAATAGTAATTAAATTTCATGATTTCACACTGCAAAAGTCAGCACATTAAAAAAAGTGTTCAACTTTATATGGAATAATAATGTTAATTAATTAATTAATTAATTAATAAATACCCTTCTTTATTTTTTTTTTAATAGTCAACTGCTAAGTAATTAATATATAACTATTCAATTGTAAAGACAAAGAAAAAGAGAGATCATTTTTTGCAGATTTTATTTTAGTATATATATAATAATTCGTGAGCTTGATTTTGACTTTGATGAATTAATTTATGCAACTAATAATGACTTATCAAATAATCTGCACCAGTTTTTAAGGGATTTTTATTCTCATTTTGATACTCCAATGGTGACTAATGTACTATTAATTATTTGAGTAAACATCAATTAACGGTTATAATTACAAAAAATAATAAATAAATAAATAAATAAAATATTGGATAAATACAATAATAAATAAATAATTTATGTACTTTTTATGGATTTTTTTTTTACTTCATTTCTAATTTAACTTAAGTAAATCTTAAGTGGTGAGTTTAAAAAATAAAAATAAAAACAACTTTTAACCAATGGCAAAAAATTTAAATATGCACAATTTGTTGCTAATGAAGCTTCCAAAACTCAAATCCCTATCAAATAATTAGTCCCATATATTTTTTATATTTTATTTTCTTTAATCATATGAGATAAGAGTTAAGAAAGTTGGCACGTGACAATCAAAGAAGCAAACGTGTAGCCCATGTGATTCCGTCGGCGGCCCATTTCATATCACGTTGTTATTACCATTTTGCCCTCGTCAAATAAAGTTTATTTTCCTATAATATTTGAGTTATATTTGGTAAAACTAGCTGATAAGCTAGCTGATATATGATAACTTAGCTTATAGCTTATCGATCAGTAATTTTTTAGCTTATAGTTTATGACTTATAGCTGAAAAACTAGCTATATGATAAGGTGTTTGATAAAATTAGTTGATAAGCTAGCTGAAATAAAAAAAATCAACTAACTTATTTCAAAAAAGCTCGTCTTACCAAATGATCTTATTTGAACAGGGAATTTATAAGCTAACAAAATAAGTTATAAGCTAACTTATTTGTCTATCAAACATAGCCTTCATCAAAATTTATTTGTAACTAAGTTTTAATGAATAAATTTGCTTAAAAAAAAGGTGTCAATTAAATATTTGTATTTATAAATCAGGAAACAGAAATGCCTTTTGCATTACCATTTAAAAATATATCATAATTAATGCATTTTAGTACTCGCATTAATTTTGACAATACCTTAAAATTGCAATGACATCTTAATCATTTATTTCAAATTAAATATTGGGCCACTCACTTTTTATTTATTTATTTATTTACTATTTTTTTTTTTCAATACAGGCCTAGTCAATATTCTATTGCAATAAATATTAAAGAGCATAACACATTCCAAATAAAAAAGAAAAAAATAAATAAAAACAAACCTATGATATTGACCTGTAATTAATTAACAATGCTTTAACAAAGCAAAGGAATCACCACAATCCAATACACTACACCTCACCTACCAATTTAAACAGTAAAATTATATCTTTTTTTCCATAAAAAGAAAACAAAATAAAAAAAAAAGATAATAATAATTAAAAAAAAAAAAACCACACACAAACATTCAAGGGAAAATATACCATCTCCCCTAATTATATATTACATTAAGAGAACAAAAAAAAAAAAAAGCAAAAGCCCATTTCTGATTACTGACTTTCTTTCTAAACCCAAGCCCATTAATGGTGTGGCGGTGCTGGGTGGGCCGCTGGCGGAGGCTTGCACTGGTAACACTTTGCAAAAAGCCCAAATGTGTCCACTTGCCTCACAAAATTTGTAACGCTGGCCCAACCTCCAAACCCGAACCCAATTACCAAGACCCAAACCACCACAAAGGCGTTCACGGCGTACATCGCCGTCCAGCTCGGCATGAAAAACGGCGGCTTCTCGGCCGCATTCTGAAATTTAACCACCAATTATAGAACACAAATTATCGAATGAGACAATTTAATTTAGGTTATAGTTATTGATGTAATTGTAAATTTATGTAACAATTAAAATTATAATTTTATATCGTTCAAAAATTGGAATATATAAATAACGGAGATTCTACGGCCCGTTACGGAACCATTCTGTAACCGTTAGATCAACTATCCACAATGGTTAATGATGATCTAACAGTAACAAATCCAGATGGAATGGTTCCGTAACAGTAGCAATTACCAATAAATAATAGCTAAATTGAAAGTGACCTGCCACCTACATGTTAATTTCTTGGCGATTTTCGAGATTTGTGACATTCAATGCATTGCTTCCCTAGACAACTGGTAACTATATTTGATTTTTTAATTTAATTTCTCTCTATGTAAAAATACACATAAAAAAAAATTATTTATATTTATTCCAGATATAAATCTGGGCCAAGGTCAAAGTCTATACCCTTCAATTAATTTCTCTAGCCATTTCCTAATTCCTACATAGGTACGGACCAGGTGTTTAAATTACATGGAAAAAAATCAAAATAAATTACAAAAAATATATATAATATACCAAATAAGGCAAATATTTATAATAAGGCAAATATTTATAAGAAAATACGACGAAAAATAATATACTTTATTTTATAAAAAATTAAGAAATACCTGTCGAGCAGAGGCTTTCCTATACGTGAGCATATGTGCAAGCGACGGGATAATGTAAACGGTGAAGCTCACTAATAGGGCACCCACCGCAGAGTTGATCGGGCCGAAAAAGGGGAAAATTATGGCCAAAAACCAAATCGGTATCACAACCGGGAGCCTAGCAAGCGCCCTCAAGCATATGCTTTTCGTGTCGTGCATTCCGATTACTTTCTCCCAAACAAAGTACAACGGCGTGCATGCAAACCCGAACGTAATGAACTGCACGCAGGAGCATGATTCATGTTAGTCCCCATAATCGAGCAAGAAATAGTACAAAAGGCTAAATGTTGACTAAGTAAATCTTATAAGTTTGACCGACATTGCAAAAAAAAAACACTATTAAAGGCATCGACGAGTTAATAAAATTACTTCGAAATTCATGAATGATTCGTGATTCGAAATTTTGAATCTCAACCTGAATCAATTTGATTACAACTTTTATATGTTTTGGGAGTCGGATACTTTTGTTTGTAAATACTGCATTTCTGATTCACTCAAATTCATTTATTTTTAAAAACCCATTAAAAAAATCGACAAACGACAAAAAGTATGTCTCGATAAGTATCTCAAGTTTCGATACGCCAAATAAATGTAGGAATGGCTAAATAATTTAATAGATTGATGACATATCAACAAGTTCTTCGCACGAATATCAAGGTTTAGCACGAAAATTGTCGAGCATGATGTAAAAAACGAGACAATTTAAAAAATCGAAAAGGGGTCGTCACCTGATGGATGAGCATGAGAACAACGGCAGCATCACGCCAACCAGTTCTCGGGAGGAGAGAGAATGCGTTAGCATGAGTAAGAAGTTGATCTCCGTACGCCCAATACATTGCGGAGGCCGATGGTAAGGTGAGAGTGAAAACGTACAATGTGGCCAATAGGTAAATGTACTTGAACTTTCGGGGCTTCCACATCGCGTGCATAATTTCACTATGAAAAAAAAAATAACTTTTTTTACGCATCGGTAAAAAGTAGAAAGAGTTACGAGATTACTCTAGTGATTTACCACAAGTTTAAAAAAATAATATTCCCCTCAAACAAATGGGAACATTGGGCAATTATTGAGGTGATGCAAAGCAGGAACAAAAGTGCTTTTCAGAATATGGGCACTGGAGTTTTAAATGTAATGGGGCCATTTGTTACTGGTACAATATGTAAATTAAGCAGTGAAACTAGAAATTTACACTTCATATTGTTGTTTTGGGTAATTAATTTTTACAGTTAGATTGTGTAATATAATTATGCAATCATATATTTTCGACAAAATATACGTTTATTTTCAAACTGAAATGTGAGATTCATATATGTATACATTTTTATTAAAAAAGTATGACACAAGGGATGCATAATACAAGAGTTTGTGTTCAACTTAACTATGATATTAATTATGGGGAAATGCTATGGTCCCGTCACGGTACCATCCCGTCGATTGTTTTAACCATTGGATTATCTATCTTATACTAACTACATGTGTATCCAACTGTTAAAAACACTCGACGGAATAGTACCGTAACGGGACCGTATTTTCCAATGTTTTTATTTAAAATCCCCAAGAAAGCCTGCAAAAGCTGCAAAGAGAAGCCCAGAAGAAGGGGAATAAAGAAGATGATTTTTGAAAACTTTACAAACAGACATGTTAAAGTTCAGCTAATTAAGAATAGTTACTATTACACAGAAAATAATCCAGATAATAAAAAAAAAAAAAAATGAAAAAAAACTTACACAGTAACAGCATGGCCACCAAAAGTGTAGAGTATGTTTGTAGCCCCTGTGAAGTACAGAACCAGCTTTTTGGGGCCTGAATGTTGCACATCTTCAACCTATTTTATATAAATAAATAAATAAATAAATTTATCATTATATTTATTAAAAAATTAAAAGGAAAAAGAGAAAGTTAATTAATTACCAAAACAATTTAATTAAATTAAGAATTAACTAATTACCTGGCCATGAACAATAGCTGCAATAGTGAGGTACCAAGCAGTATAAGTGGTCATTCCAAGGCCCAAAAAGGACCAAATTCTGTAGTTGTGAAAAGAGGGAATAAAAACAGTAGTTGCACAGCAAGCCCCAAATATGTATGTCCATGTCCTTTTATCCAGGTGGTCATTAATGTAGTATATGTTGCTGCAAAATTATTTAACAAAAAAAAAGGTTAAAAATTAAATGAAAAAATTTCATCAAAAGCCCATTTCATTTTTATGAGTCCAAGAATCATAACAATTAACAACATAAGTGTACTTTTAATGTAAAATTTAGCTACAAAATATGTGTTTTTTAATATATGTTTCTACTAATAAAACAAAACCCCAAAAAAAAAAAGTACAATATATGCTCTTTTAAAAAAATAAAATAAAAATAAAAATTACCTAGTGATAGGGATTATAGTACCGACTCGGTCCGATGGAGTAAAGACCCATAAAACTAAGTCGGGCGAACCGGGGTAGTAGCCGGAAACATATGGTCGACCCACGTAGGGTCTCGACCTATCGATCCTAGCCCCTCG